CATTTGATAGAGAGAGAGAGAGAGAGCACAAGCAAGGGGAGCAGCAGAGGCAGAGGGAGAAGCAGGCTCCCCGCTTAGCAGGGAGCCTGATGTGGGGCTTGATCCCAGGACCCCGGGATCATGATCGAAGCCCAAAGCAGATGCCCAACTGACTGAGCCACCCCGGTGCCCCCTTTTTCTTTATTTCATGCATTTTTCCCTACAATATTTCTTCTAGTCTGAACTTTTTATAAAGAAGTCAGAGTAGATAAATAGCTAATCAGAGTTACTAATATGACATGGAAAGATGGCAGATATCAAAAGGTATTGTTGGTCATGAAAATTTATAATTGATTTAATTCATAAGAAATTAACACTTTTTATAAGAAACTTGACAGCTTTTATTTTGTAGGATGGCACTAATTTAACTGAAGTGAAACCCATTTCATATTTATGTGAAACCTTAGGATTAATAGTGCTTTCAAATACATTAATATAATTTTTCCCTGTTGAGTGGAATAGTTTTAATTAAACATTACTAACTCTTTTGGTTTAATCCCTGGAGCCAACCTATAAAACAATAGAGGTTTTAAATCAAACAGTAAAAATCCGTAAAGCTCAAAGTTAAAGTGATAGCCACAGTGGTAGGGAAAACAATAAAGAAACTTATAAAATATGTCTAGTAAACCAGCAATGCTTAATACTATATCTATCTATTTATATATATATAATTATGCACACAAAATAAACACACACACAATCTTTAAAACTAATCATCAGGGGGGCGCCTGGGTGGCTCAGTTGGTTAAGCGACTGCCTTCAGCTCAGGTCATGATCCTGGAGTCCTGGGATTGAGTCCCACATCGGGCTCCCGGCTCAGTGGGGAGCCTGCTTCTCCCTCTGACCCTCTACCCTCTCATGCTGTTTCTCTCTAGCTCGCTCTCTAATAAATGAATAAACAAATAAAATCTTAAAAAAAAAAACTAATCATCAGGGGAGAGGTAATCTGGTTTATCAAAAGTATTCTAGGGGTACCTGGGTGGCTTAGTCAGTTAAGAGTCTTCCTTTGGTTCAGGTCATGATCCCAGTGTCCTGGGATCAAGCCCCGTGTCGGGCTCCCTGCTCAGCAGGGAGTCTGCCTCTCCCTCCCCGCTTCCCCACTGCCTGTGCTGTCACTTTAGCTCTCAAATAAAAAAATAAAATCTTAAAAAAAAAGTATTTTAAATATTTTAAAGGCATCAGAGTTTCTATAGCAACCATTTCTTTTCTCTCTAAAGGCTCATTGGTATGTCAAACGTGAATGAGAGGACCTGCAGATTTGTAATTTAGCCTCAAATAAAATGACCAGAGCAATATTATTTTATTAATTTCACTTGTAATAAAATTACACTGTAGTGTTTGATGCTGAACTTCATAAGGGATATGAGAATGTCTATTTAGAAGAAAGTTAGGTACTCTACTACGCCCTTACCCTGCCTGTTTGCCTCCCTGCTCCTGGTAAAACCTAAATAGATAAATAAGTGAAACCAAACCAAAACAAAACCATTGTATCATTCTTTAGGTAATGCTTCATGAACTTTTCTCACCCAAGTACTCCAAATGGAAGAGAAGATTGAACAAACACCCTTAGGGATCTATTGCAAGTGTGAAATTTCTTTGAAGTCATTTGTTTTATTTTTAAAAATTCATGTGGATTTTGAATTCTGTTTCATAATATATATCTGTTTTAATATGAAAATGATGTTTTCCCCCAATATCTTTGAGTTAACAGAGCTCTAGAAGATATGCTAAGTTTTACCATAGTTTTGCATATTCAAAGATACACACAATTTTAGAAGCTTAGCTAAAGAATAAACATGATTATAAAATAAATTTTTCCACAGATCACACATATTTCCTAGCTTCAGTTTTCCTTTCACTTTAAGGCATTTTTTTGTCAGTCAATTAGAGGCCTATAACTCTACTACTCAACTGAAATAAATTTAATTGCTATACCAGAAGCAAATATCTCTGTGTTATCAAAATTGATACTTGGGTTCCAAAAATCCAAAAACATAGAAAAAAGCTATGAATAGTCAAACAGTTGTTCTCTAAGTATAAGTTATAGGGGTACCTGGGTCGCTCAGTCGGTTAAGCACCTGACTCTTGATTTCAGCTCATGTTATGATCTCAGGGTCATGAGATCGAGCCTTGTGTCAAGCTTCATGCTCAGCGTGGAATCGGCTTGAGATTCTCTCTCCCTCTGCCCCTTCCCCCACTCTCTCTTTCACTCTCTCTCTCTCAAATAAATGAATAAATCTCAAAAAAATAAATATGAACTTCTATAATTCAATCATTAACTTAATTAGTTTCATCTTACCAATATTTCTCTAGTTTGAAAAGAAAGGTACTTTTTGTATTTTTGAAGGTGATCGTTTCACATCAAGACAGTCCATCATCAAATAAAACTGATTATATAGTATTGATCTATTTGTATTTTTGCTGGTTGACCATATACATGCTATATACAGTACTGAGGGTGACAGAATGTGATTCAAACAAGACTGAACTGTATATTATGTTAATAAGACAAGTTAGACTCAAATATCAAGGAAAAGTATTTAACCTCTTATAAGTAAGAGGTAATTGGCTTGACCTTTCACCCTGTTTCATTTTGTTCACCTGTAGACTAAATTCCAGAGTATTTCTTCCTAGGGCTCTAGTAGCAAAATATTTTTAAAAAATGGATTCTGAACAGGGATTTTACAAGTGATAGTCAGTTGTCTTAGAGGACAGGGCTGGTGAGATTTCTCGGCATGGGATGCAGCATGAAATCATACAGAGACAGGATTATCAGAAAGGAATAAAACAGCTCAAGAGAATATATGACTCGGCACACTGAAATGAGACCTAGGAGGAAATGAAAAAGGGATGCAAGCAGGTGGAATGCGTGTAAGAATTTGAGTTGAGACTGAATTTCATAGGGAAAGAAAAAGAACTAGACAAAATAACTTGAGAGTGGGTATTGCTGTGGCCCTAACAGTGAGACAGTAAGACGATTTCTGGCAACAGTCTTTTGAAAACACTGGCAGGAAGAATACAGAAAAGCAGAAATAATCAAAATGTAACAGAGAGATTTTGCTCTTGACATAGATAGGGAGAAAGAAGTTGGTGATAGTGTAAAATAAAAATATGAAAGTATTTACCAAAAGCCCAGACACAGGAAACAAACAAATAGAACTGGATATAACACATAGTTAGCTGAGACTATAGGAACTATAGGCACCCTTTTGATTATCCCCTTCTAACAAGACAATAGCAGCAACTATAATATTCATAGTAGTATATCGATATTATGACTACTACTACTATAAAGATAGTGGTATAGCAAGAGCTACATACTTACTATGTGCCAAGCCTTTTACTGAATGCTTTAAACATGTCAACTCATGTGCTCTTGTTACTATCATTCCCATTTTACAGATGAGGAAACAAAAACTTGGAAGTTTAAATTACTAGCTCAAGGTTATAGAACCAAGAAGTTATATAGCTAGGATTAGAACTTTATAATATCTAACTCAGAAGGCTGTGCACTATAAGCTGACTTCATCAATAGCAATAGTGGCTAAGAGTGTGTATGAAATTATATAGACATAGATATATAATATGGAAATATAGATAAGCTAGTATTTAGACTTAAAATTCAAAGCTGATATAAGCTTCATTCTACATTTCATTACAGTTGTTCCAGATTATTTTGACTAAAAATGTTTATCAGATATATTCATGTAAAGTATCCTCAATGTAAGAATTAAAAATTTAAAAATTAGGAATTAAAAATCATCATTATAAAATGGACAGATCATTTTAACATATTCTTGATAGAACTCTCAAAATCTTTCTGAAATTGAATCTACGTATTAAACAAATAAAACAGAAAAAAATTCTGCTAAAGGGCAATTAAAAAGTAGTGATAGCACTGAAATGATCTAATAATTGTCTTTATTTGTGACATTTCTCATGTTTCCAATTACAAATTTTCCATTTCTCTATAACTCTAAGGACTTTCAGTAAGGACTCAAAAGCATATACCTTTTCCAAGTTTATTACAAGCCTTATAAACCTGTTAGTGTTCATTAAAGGGGAGAAACTGCATGTCTATAAACCCAGAATACTGTTTGTATAATATTGTTCAGTGGTGAGGGTGCCTGGGTGGCTCAGTCGGTTAAGCTTCTGACTCTTGTTTCACCTCAGGTCATGATCTTAGCCCTGCGTTGGGCTCTGGACTCAGTGTAGAGTCTGCTTAAGACTCTCTCTCTCTCTCCCTCTCCCTCTGCCCCTCTCCCCCAAATAAATAAATAAAATCTTTAAAAAAAATAATATTGTTCAATGGTCATCTCTGCTGGTCTGATATTATCAATCAAACCCTCAACGTATTTCTTTAATTTAATCCAGTGTGCCTCATTTTGTGATCCCAGGACCAGAATAACAATAGGAGACAGAGTATGACTCCATAGTACTATTATTTTCTTTATTAAAAAAAAAACCTTTAAGATATGATGTAAAATTATACTCACTATAAGTATAGCAGCAGCTCTCTGGCAATTGCTTTTCTACAGAACTTCTATATCTTGGCTCTTCGATTTAACAACACACATTTGTGACTACAGTCATATTTACTAACATGTAAATAATGTGGAATAATAGAACATTTAGAAAATTTGTAAGCAAGAACTCACAATCATTTTGATATCACCAAAAGCCCATGGTATACTTCCCTTGTAAACAATATATATTTAAGTATTTATGAAATGAATGAATGAACATACTATCAGATCAGAGATGTGAAAGCGTCAATAACCTAGCAATGTTAAAAAATAAAGTAAGTAAAAAATAGGTCATTAAATGTGCTATACTATCAAATATAAACTAATGGAAATGATCTTCCTGCTTTTCAAATATCAGTAAACAGAAAAAATTAAATTAATGTTCATTTAATCTTACCACTTAGAATAGTCTCAAAATAGTTACTAATCAATTACCTTTGCTTGCACTTTCTACATGTTCCAGCTCTTCAGGAAATTTCAGGATATCCCAGTATTTTTCCTCACAAATTTCAGCAATAAAATGCAAGAGGGTTGTTTTTTGATCTGCTGACTTAGTATCTCTGATCTGGAATGAAATAACAGTATTTTTAGTATATTTTCGGTAATGTAAATATAGACTTTATTCTTAAACAAGTGAAATGAATGGATGAACTCAATTTATTATAACTAATTTAAATTTTTTTAAAAAGTTAGGGGTGCCTCGGTGGCTCAGCTGGTTAAGCGCCTGACCCTTGTTTTGGCTCAGGTCATGGTCTCAGAGTCATGAGATGGAGCCCTGCAACAGGCTCTGTGCTGTGTGGAGTCCACTTGAGATTCTCTCCCTTTCCCTCTGCCCTCCCCCTACTCATGCTCTCTCCCTTGCTCTCTAAAATAAATAACAGATAAAATCTTTAACAAAAAAATTTTTTTAAAGTTAGGGGTAGCTTTCTAATGGGGTCTAGCAACAATGCTCTAGATTGTAAAAGGAACACCATTATTTTAAAATGCAAAAGATGACCCAAACCAGCCAACATTGAAATTTTAATATATAAATTTTAAAATATCTATCTAATTATGGCAAAATGAACTATCCTCTGAGAATAGAGCATTAATTTAAGTATTGATAATTACAGTCAAAGTTAATATGTCTTTATGTTATCAGCATTTGTTCTTTGCTTTATCACCGAAATATATTCTTGGAAGCTATATTTGTTTGTGAGGTTATATTTATTTGTAGCCATTATTGATGCAAATTAATGTAAAAAAATACATTTTACCCTCCTTGTATGGGCCATCAATAAGAAAAGCTGAAAAGTTCTTATGCTGATTTACAAATAGAATTTGACCACACAATTGTGATGACAAGTTTTTTTCTGCTTATGTACGGTATTTCCTTTTCAGAGATACTTTTAGAAAAGAGATGCTATAGTTAGAATGATAAAAATCTTTAAAGTATAGGACAAAAAAAAATCTATGATGAAAATCCGTTTTCTTTAATATAACATTCATATTAGACTAAGCTGCAAAAGAAATGAAGGATTTACCTACAAACAAAGGATAAATAAGGAATAAAGTATCAAGTTTTCTCATTGTATTGGGTGTTTTAATTCTATAATCCTTAGACGATGGGTTTGCCCACTGATATGCATACTGATTTGTGGTTTTTAGCTTTAAGGATTACTCTAGAATAAATTCCTCCCAGACAGGTTTATGAAAAGGCTTTGGAAGATACTTAGGTAATTAACAGAATATTTAATACCTACTGTTTTAGTGGCAAAGGAAAAAAAAATCACATTTAATCAATCAGACCCATACTGAATCTGTTTTGTACTATAGCTTTTTAACAATTATTTATGTCTCCAGGATATGGAGAACTTAAAGGAAATACAGTCTTAAGGCTCAATACAAACAACCACAGGAGGCATGATGTTGACGGTTCAGGTCACAAGGTCACAGTGATTTCTTTTAGAATTTCTGGGATTACTTTATCCCACGTAGGTGAAATATTTAAAATTTTGCATTATCTTGCTGATCCGCCTAATACTTTCAAGTACTACAAGGTTAAAATTTTGGGCGCCTGGGTGGCTCAGTCGTTAAGCATCTGCCTTTGGCTCAGGTCATGATCCCAGGGTCCTGGGATCGAGTCCCACATCAGGCTCCCTCCTTGGTGGGAAGCCTGCTCTCCCTCTCCCACTCCCGCTGCTTGTGTTCCTGCTCTCACTATTTCTGTCTCTGTCAAACAAATAAATAAAATCTTAAAAAAAATGACACAATTTAAGGACAAGCTATAAGAACGAACAGCAACAACACCTCAAGGGCAATTTGTGTTAAGGCCTGTTGCTCTAGAGGAATCAATGGGAGGTTCACGTTCCTAAAGAGAGGTCTTTACCTGGGATTACAGGGTTACATGTTTACAAAGTGCATCATTTTCAGAGTATGCTGGATATTACAATTTATAAGAAAATTCATGTTTTCTTTTTTTCTTACAAATTACCCGAATTCCTAAATCCTAAAAACATTAGGTGTTTAGGAAAAATTGAAGGTACATCTTCCTGAAGGAAAGGGAATTAAACTGTATTTTATAAACTCTGTAGAGACTATACAGACATACACACACCACGACCACCACTAATAACAACAACAAAACCCTACCTAATTTTTCAGGACACCAAATTGTAAAAGTATATGTATTTTAAATATTTTACATGCATATGGCCAATACTGGAAAACACAAAAATAGAAAAATAGCATTATGCTCATATGTCAAATTTATGGGTGATTTAAAAATCAGCTTTTGGCATGCATACTTATGAATGCTTACTTTAAGAAACAGTTTTTAATTGATAAATATTTATTCAGAATCAGGTCCATTAATTTAATTCCTGTTAAGAAATTTAGTAGAGTCAATGGTTACATTCCAAAAAGATAAATGAAGCATAACATTTCAGCTAAATAAATATCCTGGTATCTTTGTTAAAATCAGAGAGTTACAGAGAGAGCATGGGTATGCTTTAAAAAAAAAAAAAAAACTGAAATATTTCTTTCAACGCATGGGCAAACATGGACAAGTGCCTGTTTTGTCAAGCTGAGGAATTATCTTAGTCGGTATGGGAGACGAACTGTTAAATCTGTATTGCAATATTTATTTTTTAATTAACTTCACACAGAGAGTCTACTTTAAGGTTATAAACTGGCAGGGAATAATTGTGACAAATATGTGGTCTTTTTAATTTTTCTCTCTATATATGACCCTTAGACCAATCATTTTAAAATAAATATATACTATTAAAATACAGGGGGAAATAATTTTTGACTTATTATATTTACTTTGTATTACCATGTCTTCAGCCTCTCTTACTGCATCTACACCATTCACACATTAGGCACTGTCTCTCTCTCAGGACCTATTGTGTTGTTCAATGTCAACACAGAAGGCAACTAAGAACATTCACCTTTATCAATTCTAAAGGTTAATAGCATTTATCCAATAATTTGCTCTTCCAAGTATACTAGTTGGATATATACATCTCTTGGGGTAATCCAAACTAATCTAATCTGAGTATGTGTAAAATCACTTCCAAAGTGTTTATTTTATTAAGAAATAAAATTGATTTGATATCTGGTTAACTTGAAATTATGTTAATTTTGTATTAACATCAAATATTCCATTAATACTTGTCCAGATTGCCTAAGTCTCAGTAGTGGCTATACTGTCAACATTTCAAGGTTTGCTTCCATCAGGAGCCTAGTGCCTTTTGGCAACCCTGCCTATGCTTTCCCTGTCTCCCTCTCACCAGCCACAGTTAGGCAGAAGTATGAGATAGATACACAACTTCTCTTTGTAAGATACAAAAGGATGAAAAAAATACCCTACATTCTTATGTCTTGCATGTACTTCCACATAATAAAAACACAAACAGTTCCAGAAATTGGAAATATTTGCAAGAGCTAAAATGTTTTATAATATTTTAATAAGCTATTATCAACTAATGATAACAATAAAAATAAGATAGAGCAATTCACTATATTCACTGATAAAGCACCATCATTTAATAAACCAGAGTGATTTTAATTATAATCATCTGACCCAAAAATGTTACATATAAAGATTAATAACTGAATTTATACTAACTGTATCTACCTATTCTTTAATAAATTTCTGAAATGGTACATGAATATAAATACCTTTAACAGAACAACACCTATATCTACAGCAAGTTCTGATAGTTTATTTTTCTAATAAATATGAAGGCTGTATTATGAAAGATAATATTTACATTGGACATTTCCATTTCCAACATTATAACTTAGGCAGATAGCAAAATATCTGAATAACTAATTGCCATGTAAAATATATTTTTTTCAAATACTTTCATTCAAGCCTGAAAATCTAGTTTTGCCCTGTCTTTGAAATTAGGTGGTTCTGAGCACACAGAAGCCAGCACACAGCCAGAGAGCCTGAAACAACATTTTAATCATCTACGTCAGTCACACTCAATCTTTTTTTTGAAGGACCCCTTCTGTAGGTAATTTTCCCCTCTGCTGAGATTTAAGCCTATTTCTTCTTGCTCCATCCTCAGTGGGAACTGAAAATAACTGGTCACTATCCTCTGTATAACCACACTTCACAGAGGGAAAGCTCCCTTCTCATGTGTCCTGTTCTTTAAACCAAACAATTTTAGTAAATTTAACCTCTTCACACAGATCTTAGTTTCCAAATGTTTAACTCTGAAAAGATAATAAGAATCCACTCAAAGTTTCCATTACAAAGTCTCCCTGCATCTACTAGAAAAGCATACAAACTTCTTGGTTTTGCATATATGGCCCTTTGTGAGCTGGCCCTTGCCTACTTTTCTAACATGTCCCCTGATGCTTTCTGATGTATGCCCAACTCTTTGGTCTGATTATAAATGTATGAACATACCACGTAATGTCATGCCATCGTGCCTTTGCACATCTTGTTCTCTCTCTCAACTCCCCTTCCATCGTCCCCTTTTTGTTCTATCTGCCATGTGAATACCTACTCATATTTCAAGACCACTCAACTATCACCTCCTATCTGAAGACTTTTCTTAGTAATAATTAATGTCTTTTTTAAGTCATGTTCCTTCACTATAAACATTTTAGCACAGTAGTTTTTTTTAAGATTTTATTTATTTATTTGAGAGAGTGAGAGAGAGAGGGCACAAGTGGCGGGATGCAGAGGAAGAGAAAGAGGGAGAAGCAGGCTCCCAGCTGAGCAGAGAGCCCAATGCGGGGGATCGATCCCAGGACCCTGAGATCATGACCTGAGCCGAAGGCAGACACTTAATTGACTGAACCACCAGTAGTTTTTTCTAGGCAATATGAGGTTTTTTTCAAGGTTAGAGACCCTGTTTTCCAAATATTTTTTATCTACAGTACTTAGGAGAATGCTAAAACATACTAGGTAGGCAATAAATGTTTCTGAATTAAGATTTTTCTCCACATAAGTTCCCACTTGCATGAACTTTAAGAGTAATACTTCTAAATTAAACTCTATTCATGTGTACATATGTATGTGTGTGTACATACCCATACATATACAGAAAGTTGACTACAAAGCCC